TATATAAGCAAGAACTAATTATATTGAGGGAAGAGTCTAAGCTGTACAGAAGGCATCGTAAAAAACAAGTGTCCATCTGGGTATTGATAAAATACCCATTGAGATGTTTCAACAAACAGATGCAATGCCAGAAGTGCTCACTTGCTTGTGCTGTGAAATATGGAAGTCAGCTACCTGGCCAGCAAACTGGAAAAGATTCGTATCTGTGCCCATTCCAAAGAAAAGTGATCCAAGAGACTGAGGAAATTGTCAAATACCAAATATCATTAACATTACACTCAAGTAATATTTTGATGATGATAATTAAAAAATGGTTGCAGCAGTACGTAGACAGGGAACTGCTAGAAATTCAAGCCAGATTCAGAAGAAGATGCAAAACAAGATATCATTGTTGATATTAGATGGACCTTGGGTGAAAGCAGAGAATACCAGAAAGATATTTATCTGTGTTTACTTGGCTATGCAAAAGTATTCAACTGTATGGATCATAATAAAATATGGGTAACTTGAGAAGAATGGGAACTCTAGAACACCTAACTGTGCTTACGCAGAACCCATACACAAATTAAGAAGACAGTCTTTAGAACATAACAAGGGGATACTGAGTCATTTCAAAATCAAGAAATAAGTGCATCAGGGTTGTATCCTTTCACCATACTTATTCAATCTGTATGCTGAGTAAATAATTCCAGATGCTAAACTATATGAAGAAGAATGTGGCATCAGGATTGGAGAAAGACTCTTTAACAACTTACAATATGCAGATGATGCAACCTTGCTTGTTGAAAGCAAAGACGACTTGAAGTATATATTGTTGAAGATCAAAGATTATAGCCTTCAGTATGGATTACACTTCAACATAAAGAAAACGAAAATCCTCACAAGTGGACCAATAAGCAGCATCATGATAAATAAGAGAAAAGACTGAAGTTGTCAAAGATTTCATATTACTTGGTTCCACAATCAACACCAATGGAAGCAACAGTTAAGAAACAAGATGTCATATTGCACTGCGCAAATCTGCTGCAAAAGATTTCTTTAAAGTACTGAAGGACAAAGTTATCTCTTTAAAGACTGTTGTTGTTGCTGTTGTTATTCACTGCCCCACCAGGGCGCCTTTATTTTGTATCTATAATGTATATGTATATATCTTTCAAAAATACTTAAGCTTTCAGCCATCTAAGATACAACAATGAGTCTCTCCTCCACCAGAGCAAAGAAGAATGAAGAAAGCCAAAGATGCATGGAAACAATTAGTCCAAGGGACTAGTTGTGGGTGTTTAATTCTGGTTTTCCCTGGCCACCAAGTATAGTGCTTGACAATCAGTAACGTAACGCAACGCACTGCCGTGGAGTTGGATCCAACGCATAGCGATCTCTCCTTGGGTTTCCGAGGCGGTATCAGTAGGCACTCAAAAATCAGTTGAATGACTGAATATCCAACAACTTCGAGAAAGCTAAGCAAATTGCATTTGATCATCAAGATACCACAAAACTTTTAAGAAGGATGATGTTTAAAGGAAATCACATTAGATGTAAAGGCAGAACCTCACATAAGAGATTCACATATTTTCTAGGCTTGAGATGGATCTCCATCCCTCGATTACCCAGAACTGCCTCACCAGACCACCTGCCTCCAATCTCTTCCCAACACTCTCAGTCACTATCTCAGGAACATACAGGGGCTCCCTGTCTTTTTCACCTTTTCCTTCAAGGCCCTGCCATCTGACCAACTCACTCACGACCCGGCTTTTGCTAGGCACTTCCCCTCTACTCCACACTCATCTCCTTCTAAGTAGGCTCCCAGTGAATGGCGGTTTTTCTTTCCTCCATCAACCCCAGGTAAACACAGCAGTAGCTAACTATTGAGAAGTAAATAAAATGAGAGTGGATTCACATGACATTCAAGTAAAAAAAGAAAAACCACAATGTGATCACCAAGCTCATTAGAAACTAGCATAATCAACAAAGCCCCGTATCTAGGAGCTTCTGATTTTGGGTATGCAGGCAGGAGCTCTGGCAGCATAGTGTCTAAGACATTTGACTGCTAACCAGAAGGCTGGCAGTTTAAACCTACCAGCCACTCCTTGGAAGGAGGTTGGGCAATCTACTTCTGTAGTGATACTGCCTCAGAAACCCAAGGAGAGGTCGCTATGAGTCGGGTTTGACTCGACCGCAGTGAGTTTGGTTTTTTGGTATGCAGGCTTATATGATCTGTCCAGTGCCTTTTCTGGCTTAAGGAGTCCTGGGACTCCTAAAACTGACTAATGGAATAGTCACTTTAGGCTGGGCTTTAAATGCCATGTCTACCTCCCCTCCTCCTCCTAGCCCCACCCCAGCCTTTTCAATAGGAGTCAAGACCCTCGGTTCATTATCAAGCAAGTCCTTAACCTTCTGTCAAGAACCCAGTTTCTTAATATGTAAAAAGAAAGAAAGAAAGGGGCATGGGGGGATGGAAGAATTGGATGAGAGAATAATGACAATGATAAAAACATCTTCCCGGTTGCAAAATGTTTTCCCATCAGGTATATTCAAAGGCCCTTCTAGCTGAACACCGTCTCACTATAAATACACCTTGGCCATCCTCCTAGGTTAGTGTGTACAGACTTACCCCATTAGGAGATTCCATTGTATGGAGACACTGGAGTTGCTTAACCAGTCAGCTCCCTATGTAGAGCATTTAGTTGTTTGCAATTTTTCTGCTAGAATGAACAAGGCTGCAACGAAAAATCTCATGTTAAGTATTTATCTTTGTTGTGTGGTTATTTCTTAAGAGAGATTCCTAGAAGTAGAATTACTGGCTTAGAGGGTGCATATATTTTAAATTCTGATACCTGTTAGTCGAGAGAAACTTTACAGGGTAATTCTCAAACTCTAACTGTATTTAGGATTTACCTGGGGAATTTGTTTACGCACCACCAGCCCTTAGGTTCCCCACTCTAGAAAGTCTGAGGAGAGGCCTTAGAAGGTGCTTTGTTATCCAGCTGCCAGGGGGCCATGGCTCTGCTTCTGGGCAAGTGGAGGAAGGAGTCTCTCCCCTCCGCTTACCCCATGGCACCTTACCTCAAACAATACTTGGGAAGCACTGGCCTAAGAGATTCCTGCTGGCCAAATCTGTGGCTTGGTCTCTGGGTTCCAGTCCCAGGTCCCCAATGACTTCCCCAAAATGGGCCAAGTCAAGCTCACATGGACTCCAGCACAGTGCCTGGCAGAGTTCAAGCTCAATAGCTGGCAAAGGAGTCACAGCTCCAGACAGCTCCAGGCTCACCTGTCTATACCTCCACTTTCCTCTTTAGACCTCCCCTTCTGAAGGTCCCTGCCCCACATATGTTCTATTACCCTAGTGGCTAGGGACTTGTGGTTTTCACCCTTTTTACCTGAGCCTTCCCAAGCTTTCTTTTTTATTTTTCCTCTCCAGAGGGCTGTGGCCAGAGTACCACTCTGCCAAGAAATTGTCTGAGGTGTCAAGGCCTGTTTCCCAATTTGTAAAATGGAGAGTGTCATTGACATTTCGGGTGCTGCTGTGAGGAGAGCAGAGTGGCCAACTAACTTCTGAGTTTGCAGGAAGTTTGGCTTCCACGAGAATCCAGGTGTGCCTTACAGTCATAGTGTTCTGATTGGCTTAGAGCTTCTTTGGAGATTATTCAATTTTGGTTCCTAGAATTCTTCATTGCTAAAAGGCCAGTAATACCAAAAGTAATTCTGAAGTCTTGACTTTCAAGCTCAAGGGCCCAAGATGTCTGGGCCCAGATCAGGAAACTGGGCGCCAACAAGACTTTGTCCCATTGGAACAGTCTTTGCATGGGAGCGGGGTTGGTGTTATAGGGTGCAGAAAGCAGGGAAGAGCTGGCAGGTGGTAAGGAAGGCCAAGGGAAACATCCTGGAGTTGGGTGTTATGGGTGTTGTTGTTATTTGCCAGGGAGTCGGACCCAACTCATAGCGACCTGTCCTTGGGTTTCTGAAGCGGTATCACTACGAAGTAGATTGCCCAACCCTCCTTCTGAGGAGTGGCTGGTGGGTTTGAACCACCAGCCTTCTGGTTAGCAGTCAAGTGCCTTAGGCACTACGCTACCAGAGCTCCTAGGGCATTATGGGTAGAGAAAGAAAAAGAAACCAGTCAGGGCCGCTAGGTGATGCTAGACTGACCCATCTGCCTCCTTCACGGACCTGTCACAATGGTGTTCAGCGCTGGGCTGTCTGACAGACCTGAGCCATATCACAAAAGGCAAGTCAAGCAACCTCTCTGTGGCTCGTGGGTTGAGCCAGTGATTTACACAGAACACCACCCCATAACCCGAGGATTAAACAGGATGCCACATCCGAAGTACCTTCCTCAGCACCACTGTCTTATAAGCAGTCCTCAAGCCTTGGCTGGTATTAATTCAGGCCGTCTCCTGAGTACTGGACCCTGGACTAGGTACTTCGGGGTAACGTCCCTGCCACTCTTACCGGCCGTTGAAGGCAGAACTGGCGTTTCATTCTGAACCCAGTCACCTACCCGCTGGGTATAAGTCACGGACTAACTGAGCCTCAGTTTCCTCCAGTGCAGTGGGATCAGTAGTACAACCTACAGGACCTCTTGACGGTGGGAGCGAACTCACTAATGTCAGGATTTGCCTTATTTTTCCTCTCAGAAAGCGCCCCCATCCACCGCGTAAGGCACACAGTAGGCGCTCCGGAAATGCTCGTCGAAAGGAGGCGCGGGTCCACTTCCTGCCCCCAAGCGAACTGTTCGGAGTCAGGCTCCCACCACTCCTTCTCGGTGGCCATGTGGCATTCCTGAGGGTGGGGGTGGGCTCAGGAAGATGGTGCCCTGGCGGCCCCTCCCCCTCTGGGCGCGATGGGCGAGGCTAAGCCCCTCCGCTGCGTCTGCCCGCCCCGGGGTGGGGGCGCGTAGCTCGCGGCGCTCCGCACAAAGTTTGTTTTCTCCCTCCGGGCTGGTGGGGGAGGGCGCCGAGAGCGTGCTGGGGAGGAGAGGGGATCTGACGTCAGCCCGCGAGGTGCTTTCCAGCCCGGAGCTGTCAGGCCGAGTGTCAGGCCCGGCAGGTACGCGGCGCTCTCCCCCGGCCCCCAGCCCACTGCCAGGCCTCGCTGACCGAGCCGGAGGCCGCGTGGACCGGAGAGTCGCTCGGAAAAGTCAGTGCGGGGAGTAGGGGAGGGGAGAGGAGTGCTCGGACAACTTGGAAAGTTTCTTTTTCTTGGCTGGGCGGGGGAGGGGGCGTCGTCCCAGAGTGTGCGATTTTGTGTGTGTGTGTGTGTGTTTGTGTGTGCGCGTGTCCCGACTGCGCTGTGCTTGTGGGGGCTGGCCCCCGGGGGAAAATCGCTCGAAGCGCTTTTGGGGGACCCAGTTCCCTGGGATCCCACCCCGGGAGAGGACTGCCCCCGTCCTCACCGGGGTGAGCGCACGAGGGGCGGGTTTGTTTGGCTTCAAAAGTGCACGTTGCTAACCGCCGGCTGGTTCCCCCCCGGCCGCCGCCTCTGAGGGGGGGCCGCTGAGAGTGACAGCTGGGGTGGGGGCCGCGGGCAGGGCTCGGAGCGGGGGCGCTGGGGAGCCCGCGCGAGTTCCCCTTTCCTTTGAAACAAAGGAAAGTCTGTCTGTGAGGCATCTGTCACTCCCAGGCGAGCGGGGCGCGTGGGACCGGCGACCCGGAGAAAGTTTGTGCGCGCCGGGACCCTCGGGCAGGCTGAGAGTGAGCTGAGACTCCGGCGGGGCCAGCGCGAAGTCTCCCGGGCCGGGGGCGGCCAACATGGAGTCTGGGCGCAGGGCTGGGGGGTGGCGCGGAGGTGGGAGCCCAGCCCCTCCCCTCCCCCTCCGGGCCGAGTTCGGAGCACAAAGCCAAGCGCGCACGCTCGGCTGGCCCGCGCCCCGAAGTCGGCCAGCGCGGAGCGCCGGGGAAGGGGGTGGGAAACAAAACTTTTTCCTGCCTGGGGACAGACACGTGAGTTTTCTTACTCCCAGAGCCTCCGCCCCGCCAGGATTACAGGCCCGCGGGGGAACTGAGGCGCGGGTCTGGCCAGAGGTAGGGGGCCGGGGTTGCGGGCGCCCGGAGCGCAGGCGGACTCCTCGCTGCCCCGGGAGCCATGTGCTCCGACTCGGTCCCGGCGCGGGGGAGGCTGCGCGCTTTGTGTGAACTGCCGGGAATGTGAGCGAGAGCGCGCGGCCCGGGGGAGTGTCGAGGCCCAGCCAAGGGAGTTGTCAGAAAGTTCGTGCGGGAGTGGCTGCAATCCGGCGTCGTGGGAGTGTGCAGGAGAGTGTAGGGGGTGTTGTGCTGAGAGGGGCTGCCTCAAGCCAGTGAGGGTAAGAAGTAAGAACTACCGCCAGTGTGATGACGTCTGGTGTCCTCTCGGTCTGAGAGAGATCGTGGGTGGGCAGGTCGGTTGGAGTTCGTGAGTGGGCGGATATCCAGGAATCGTGCTAGTTGCGTGGATCGTGTGAGGCAAGGGGTTTGTAAGTTGTTTGTGCTGTGTGTGTCGGTAAAAATCATGGGAGTTTCAGAGGTGGATCTGTGGAAGTTCTGTGAGCGCTGTTTGTTACGTTTGTTCAGGATATGTGTGTGTGTGTGGGGGGGATGCCGGTGTGGGGATTATATGAATAGGACCTGACTGGACTGGAGTGTGGGCGGGCTGCCGGGACACCATCGTGGAGAGTTTGTCTAATAGACTGAGGGGTCTTCCTCCTGGCCCGCCCCAGGAATCGTGCAGACTGGGACATGGCTGGCAGCCAGAGTGGAATTTGTACAGATAACCTTGAGTAAACGTCTCACAGTCTGCCAGGGCCTCATCCCGGAGCCCAGATCCCAGCTGTCCTGGCTGCCTAGAAATGTCTGTCCTCGGAAAGCAGCCTGTTGTTGGTGCTCTCTGAGGAGTGGCATCCATAACCAGGGACTATCTCACCTCCAGGTGGCCAGGCTGGGAGGGTAGACCCTTCTTCCCTCGAAAGCCTGGCCAGCCGGCCTGGAGATCAGGAGATCTGGGCTCTGGCCCAAGTTGAGGAAACAAACTCTGGGAGATGCCAGAGTCTGGCTGGGGAGCTGTTAAAAGGCTGAGGAAGGAGGAGCTTGGAGATTCTGGCTTTAGTTTGGCCTGGAACTTTTTTTTGCCTTTAAAATGTAAATATATTCTGCATGTGTGGACAGGAACTTTGTAGGGGGATGAGCAGCTGACTGAACAGGGTTGTGTAGCTTTATTTATTTGACAGGTGGTGAAGGGGGAGCTTAAACCCAGAGAAGGGAGAAGACTTGCCTAGGGTCACACAGCTAAGTGTAGAGGGATAATGGAAGGGCAGAGATTTGATGACAAAGGAGAATGCCTAGGAATCAACCAGTAGGGATGACTTGCTGTTTTTTCTGCAGGGTACACAGTAGGTGCTCAGAAAATTTTGCATGAATTGCTACAGGGTGATCTATACTGGGGGGGGGGGGCCAAAAACACCTCATGGTTGCGGAGTCAATTCCAACTCACCCTTCCTTGGGTTCCCTAGTCAGTATCTCTACAGAAGTAGATAGGTTACTCTTCCTTCCAAAGAGTGGCTGGTGGGTTTGAACCACCAGCCTTCTGGTTAGCAGTCAAATGCCTTAGGCACTATGCCACCAGAGATCTATAGAGTTTGCATATTCCTTAGGAGACCTGGGAGGCAAAATGGTGTGGAGCCCAGCAAACTGCCTGAATCCAAATCCTACTTGACTATATCTTAGCAGCAGTTTTTTTCTTTTTTAAATAAGAGCAGTATTGAGATAATTTTCACATATAATTCACCCACAGTATGCAGTTCAGTGTTTTTTAGTATACTTAGTATATGTGCATCACAGTCTAAAGAACATTTTTCTTACCGCGAAAAGAAACCCATCACCTTTAGCTATTATGGCCTTATTTTCCCCACCTCTGCAGCCTCTCCTCCCTAACCCTAAGCAACCACTAATCTGTTTCCTGTCTCTGTAGATTTCCCTATTCTGGACATTTCATATAAATGGAATCATATAGTATGGTCTTTTGCGACTGGCCCCTTTCACTTAGCATCATGTTTTCAAGGGTCATCCATGTTGTACAGTATCTTTTTTCCTTATCTGTGTGTGTGCTAAAATATAACTCCATTAATTTTTGTGGCCAAATATACTCCTTTATCTGGATATCAGGACAACCCCATGTGTGTAGAATAGAACTGCATTCAAAAGTTTTCAAAGGCTGTGACCTTTCAGGAACAGATTTGCCAGGCCTTTCTTTTGAGGGTCCTCTGGGTGAGTACGAACCACAAAGTTCTTGGTTAGCGTTACTGTTTGAACACCTGCATGGGGTCGCCATGAGTCAGAATCAGCTTGATGGCAACTTGTTTGGGTTTTTTGGATATATGGATAAGACCACATTTCGTTTCAGTGTTCATCAGTTGATGGACATTTTAATTGTTTACGCTTTTTGACTAACGTGAATAATGCTGTTAGGAACATTTGCATGCAAGGTTTTATGTGGACTCTGTTTCCATTTCTCATGTGTGTATACCTAGCAGTGGAATTGCTGTATCATATGGTAACTGTTTAACAGCAAGTAGAACCTTGGGCACTTTCTTAAATCTCTCTGGGCCTTAGTTTCCTCATCTATAAAATGATAATAGTTTCTCCCTCACAAGGGATTTGTGAGGATAGAATGCGATAATAAATGTAAACTGCTCAGTTCAGGGCCTGGAGAACAATAGACCTCAACATACCTATAATTATTTCTAGTCCTGGTATTGCTTATTAATGAGCTGGAGGGATTTTAGAATGGCCCCTTCTAGCTTGCCTTGGCTGTGGTATGGCCTGAGACTGAATCCTGACTCCCCAATTTCTGGCGCCCCAGGTGCTAGTAATGGAGTGTGTGTGTGTGTGTGTGTGTTGGGATACCAGGGAGAGAGAGAGAATGGTATTGATGTTCTCATCCTCTGTGTTGCTTGTCCCAGGATTGCTTGAGGCCCAGCCTAGCCCCTAGACACCCCTACCATGTCGGACAGTGATCTGGGCGAGGATGAAGGTCTCCTCTCCCTGGCGGGTAAGAGGAAGCGGCGAGGGAACCTGCCCAAGGAGTCCGTGAAGATCCTCCGGGACTGGCTGTACTTGCACCGCTACAACGCCTACCCCTCAGAGCAGGAGAAGCTGAGCCTTTCTGGACAGACCAACCTGTCCGTGCTGCAGGTAAGAAGGGGGGATTGGGAAAGGGGGAGTGATGGGACCTGGGTTCTAGTCTTGGGCCAGGTACCTCCCCCTCTTCTCCCTTCATTTTCTTCTTGGATCAGGTAAGAACACCCAGCCTGTGTGCCTTACAAAAAGAAAACAACAAACCCACTGCCATCAAGTCCATTGTGACTCATAGTGAACCCTGTAGGCAGAGTAGAACTGCCCCGTGGGGTTTCCAAGGCTATAAATCTTTATGGAAGCAGATTGCCTCATCTTTCTCCCCTAGAGCTGCTGGTGGGTTCAAACCACTGACCTTTTGGTTAGCAGCCCAGTGCTTTAACCACAGCACCACCAGAACTCCTTGTCTGCCTTAAAGGAAGACTAATGAAATGAGGTCATAGCAGGTATATTTCATACTCTGTAGAATTCTGAAGTGGGAAGAATCATCATTAATGCTGAAACCAAACCAAACCCACGGCAACTGAGTTGACTCCAACTCGTAGTGATCCTATAGGACAGAGCAGAACTGCCCCATAGGATTTCCAAGGCTATAAATCTTTACCGAAGCAGACTGACTTTTTTTTTTTTTTAAATGTGATTTGGGTAAAGATTTACAGAGCAAATTCACTTTCCATACGGCAGTTCACATATACTTTGTCTCATGTCATCGACCACAGTTTGCCACAATGCAACAGCTCCCCTTCCACTTCCTCCCCATAGTTACCTCTTCCCAGTATCCATCCCTCCATACTCTCCTGCACCCTGAGCTGTCTCCCTGTGCATAAGCAGCCCTTCCTTCTCCCATGATTGTTCTCTCCAGGGCATGTGTCTACTTGAGGTAAATGTTTAATTCACATGCCTGTACATTGTTTGGCTGGCAACCACAGGTGTGGGTTCAATTCCAGACCTGAAGGACAGCTAGGGGCCATAGTCTCAGTGGTTCCACCAGGCTCTATTGGACCAACAAACCTGGTCCTCACCTTCTTTTTTTTTTTTTTCCCTCCAAATGATTTTGAGTTTTGTTCCACATTGTTCTTCCTCTCTATCCAGGATCTCCTACATCCCTTCCAAGTGGATGACAGTGGTAGCCGGGCACTATCTAGTTCTTCTGGTCTCATAGTTGTATAGGTTGCAGATCGGATGGTGTACCAGTCGCTAGGACTGATTGTTTCCATTAATTTTGGTTTTCTTCTTTCTTCTTTGCTCTTGACGAGGAGAGACCCATCGTTGCATCTAGATGGCAGCTTGCTAGCTTTTAGGATCCCAGTTGCTACTTGCCAAAGTAGGAGGTGGAATGATGTTTTGTATAGTGTGTTATGCTAATTGAGCTCGGTGTCCCCTGTGACTATGGTCCCAAGCCCGCAGGTTCAACTACTCGGTCCCTCTGGGTAGCTGGCTGTGACCAAACAGTGACCACAACCTTGCCCCTTGTCAGCTCTACTATACACCTGGGAATTCTGATCATTCATATAAACTTATAGGACCACTGGCAGACTGACTTTTTACCGAAGGAGATCAACTCATCTTTCTCCCCCCAGAGTGGCTGGTGTGTTCAAACCACTAACCTTTTGGTTAGCAGCCTAATACTGTAACCACTTTGCCACCAGAGGTGTTCATTAATGCCAAAGTGTCCACAGTAACAATGAGCTCTTTGGTGGTGCTGCTGTGGTTAAAGCATTCAGCTGCTAACCAGAAAGCTGGTGGTTCAAACCCAGCAGCTGCACTGATGGAGAAAAATGAAGCAGTCTGTTTCTGTAAAGCTTTACAGCCTGGGAAACCCTGTGGTGTAGTTCTACTCTATCCTGTAGTGTTCTTATGAGTTGGAATTGACCTGATGGCAGTAGATGTGGTTCGATTTTCCCATATTAACACTGGATGCAAGTGAAGTCTGTGGGAAGGTGAGAAGGTATTTGAATGTCTGGAATTCAACCCCCACCCCCACAGCCATGTTTGGGTGGGGATTTGGTTATAGCAAGTATATCATGTGGATGAGAAATGAGTTGGAATCACTTTAAAAGAAAGGCAGAAGTCAGGGGCTCTGGGTTGAAAACACCATTCAGCTACATAGGCACTGTAGGCCAGGACCTGATTTCCCCATCTGTAAAGTGGGAGTTAGAATCTTCCCCTACCTGACTTGACTGGTATGAGGAATAGATTCAGAACTGGGTGTAAAAGTGCTTTGTAAACCATGCATATGGGCATGCTCAAAGATAGTATTTTTAAAAAACAAAAACATAGTCTTAAGTACTTTTTGTGTGGGCCATTACTTACCTCCAGATGCCTTTTCCTGGTAGTAAGCCTCACAATGAGTATTTGGTCCTTAGAATTCCTGTCTTCACTTGCTGGGCAGTGCATAAGTGTAGCCTGTCTACGAGAGGCTCTAGAGTCACAGACTTTGACTCTGTTCCCATCTTCTCCCCAAGAGGAAGCCTGGACATTGATCAAGTCACTCTCTCCTCTCTTGAGCCTCTCTCCCTGGGTCCTTGAACCTCTGGCCTTTAGTCCTTCTCCCTTCATTCTTGTCTTAGTTCTTGTCTGAACAAGAGTCATGATTGCAGCACTTTAATAGGATGTAAGGAAGAAGGACTGAGAAAAGTTCAAGGCTCATGTAGTCAGTCAAGTTGGGTGCTGTGAATACGGACAGACCTCGTGGGACGTAAGGTCTTGGGCAGACCCAAGGTGTCTAGTAGTGTCTAGCATTCCACCGATGAACCTCTTCAGCACTCGCACTGTGCCTTGCTCTGTGCTATGCAGGACTGGGGTCCCAGAGAGGGATTAGACACATTCCTACCCTCAAGGAGTATCTAATTTGGAGGTGGTAGGGGTGGTGGAGCAGACCTGCCCACTAATGTTTGCAAACAATGGTCACTGCTGGGATAGAAGGTAGTGGAGACCCAGGCAAGGTTCTGAGCCAGGCTGGAGCCTGAGAGCTAGGATTGCCTAGATCTATAGCATCTTTGCTGGTTTTCTGGGCTCCAGCCTTATTCCATCAGTGCATCCTCTTGGACACAAAAATGCCATGGACCCCACTATCCTCAGGATAGGGTCAAAATTCTAAGAGTTTACCAGCCTTATCAATTAGTTCCTCTTAAGATCCTGGGTCCTTGAACCTCTGGCCTTTAGTCCTTCTCCCTTGGTTCTTGTCTTAGTTATTTCATGCTGCTGTAACAGAAGTACCACAAGAGGATGGCTTTAAAAAACAAAAGTCTATATTCTCACAGTTCAGGAGGCTAGAAGTCCAAATTTAGGGTACCAGCTCTAGGGGAAGGCTTTCTGTCTGTCAGCTCTAGAGGGAAGGTCCTTGTGTCTTAAGCTTCTGCTTCCTGGTTCTTTGGAGATCTCCGTATGTCTGGGTGTCTGTTTTACCTCCTCTCTATTTGCTTAATCTGCTGGGTTTTATACCTTGTAAGAGATTAACTTGACACACTCTTCACTACTGCCTCACTGACAGAACAAAGACAACCCATTCCCAAATGAGGTTATAACAAAGGCATAAACCACAAAAAAAAAAACCCCAAAAACAGCTCACTGCCATCCATTCAGTTCCAAATCATAGCAACCCCCATTGGGTTTTCAAGGCAGTAAATCTTTACAGAAGTAGATTGCCCCGTCTTCCTTCCATGGAGTGGCTGGTGGGTTTGAACCGCCAACCTTCTGGTTAGTAATCAGATGCCTTAGGCACTGCATCACCAGAGCTCCTTAACCAACAGGCATAGAGGTTGGGATTTACAACACATATCTTTTGAGAACACATTAAAATCCATAACATTCTACCCTTTTAAACCAAAACCAAACCTGCCATTGAGTCGATTCTGACTCATAGCAACCCCGATTGGGTTTCTACAGTGGTAAATCTTTACGGAAGTAGATTGCCCCGTATTCCTTCTGCATATTGGCTGGTACATTTGAACCATTCCCTTGGACACAGTCCAGCGCCACCAGAGGTACTGGTACTGTGCCACCAGAGCATATACTTCCTGTGTACAAAACAGATTCACCCTGTCATGTCTTCCCAAAGTCTTAAATCAACTCCAAGTTTAAAATTTCATTTTCTGAATCCTCTGAGTCAAACATGGGTGAAATTTGGGGTGTATTCCATCCTGAGGTGGAATTCCTTTTCATCTGTGAACTTGTGAAATCTAGATTACAAATTAATTGGTTTCCAAAGTACGATGGGGGAACCAAGCACAAGGCAGAAATGGTGCTCTGGCCACCATGCCCCTGGCACACCCTAACTGCAGCCCCACATGTAAGAGGTTAAGCAAGCAGAGGAAAGATGCCAGAATACATGGAGACCTCCAGCAAACCAGGAGGCAGAAACTGAAGAGACCAGGACCTTCCAGAGCCAACAGAAGAAAAATCCCTTCTCCTAGGGCCAGGACCCTGAATTTGGACTTCTAGCTTCCCTAAACTATGAGAAAATAAATTCTGTTTGTTATACCCATCCATTTGGGGTACTTCTTGTATAGCAGCACTAGATAACTAAAACGGCTCTGAAGAACTAGCTGCAGTCCTGGCCTTTCGTTACCTAGCTCACTCTAAGCATCTGTTTCTTATGAAAGAGTTCTCTGACCTCTGGCCTAGGTTTTGGGTCACTACTGATATTCTCATTGTGCCTCATTCCTTTTAAACCATTTGTCACACTGTCCTGCAATTGCTGTCTGTCAGAGAGATTGTTTCTCAGGTCTGAGTAATGTACCAATTCCTTTTAAAGAAAATGTTTTTCATGAACTTTCCTCCCTCTAACATATCAACTTGAATCATTTTTATTATCACATCACTTAAGTATGTACCAACATAAAGCTGTTTAAAAAAAGAAAAAAAAGACTTGTTTTTAATTCAGACACAACTATAAAAGCAAGCAGTTTTATAGAGTGAGTAAATGTAAAACCAATGAAATTCTCTGTAACTGTGTTTAAAGTGGTGGAGGGTAGTTTGCTGAGTCTGAACTGTGTGGTGTGTAGTGTGACAGACTATATTTTGAGTTGAGTCTATTGCTGTGGGCCATGATGTTCCTA